AGACCAAGGTTTTCCTCATTACCTCGAAAATAAATGAGAATTTCAAAAAATGCCCTCTTTAAAGTACCACCCAGAAATTATTTCCTTTCAGAAAAAGTGCTAACTTGATAATCGGATTATGCTTTCTGGTAGAAAAAGTGTTCACATAAAAAAAGAAAAATAAACATCATTGTAAAATCAATTCATTCCTCTCTCCATTCAGAATCTAAAATAATATTAAACGTCATAACTAGAGGGGTGTGCGCTGATAGCCCTTTACATATTTTTCTAGAAATTATCCACAACCTCCCCCCTCCCATTGGAAATTTCTGAGAACGTTACTAGGTGCAAGTACACCTACACGCGTGCCAACTACTAATTAAGAATTGTTATTATTATTATTATTATTATACCTAAGGCTGCGTATCAGCAGTAAACAGGACAGGTAAATATACTTACGGTTTTCAATTTACAGTAATTAATTAATCGGTATGATTAAGTTATGTGAAGTTAAATATGCAAATAGTATATGAATATTGCTATCGAGCCAAATATACATATAAAGAAAGGCTTAAAATAGTGTATCTCCCGAACTAACGATGTGTGCACCGAGTTTTATAACGTGTATATTAGTTTTGATTGTATAGAAATAACAGTAAAGCTGATAAAAATCAACTGATGATCTCACTCTAACCAACACACACGTTATTAATTTTAAATTGTTTCGTATTAGTCAAATATTTTAGACTTTCACCTACTTATATTTATTTCGTGTTGATAATTTTTAGCCCACACTTTTATAATTAATAAAAATGTGACATGGTACCTAAGTAGTGTTCAAAAGCTACGCCTCCCAAGATACAATTCGCAGCTGATATTATACATCACAACGCGTTAATTCCATGGAAAGTAAATATGATTCAGCACCGACTATTTCGCTGGCAAACCGATTCACCGCCGACGGTTTCGAGAAAACATGTTTTAAACATGACGGTCGACAGGCGTAACTCCTAAATGTATTGATTTGCATTAAGTTTTGAACGATCGAAATTGACGACCTTATAGAAGTATAGAACTCGAGTATTGAAAGTAAGTAACCTAACCTAACTTACCTTACTCCGAAAATATATTATTACGAGAATTGAGTGGACCCAAAAATAAAAATATCGTAAACATTTTGTAACCCGTATTCGAATATAATATTATAGGTACAGCGATTGTTGTACAATTATCATGTAATCAATATGTGTACACTGTACATATAGGCTATAATATTACTATTCTGTATATATTGTGTACCTATACGGGATGTTTGTGAACGGTTGTCCGACGTGTTAGTAGGTACCTATTGTAACTGTATTATATCATTAGCCGTGAAAAAGGCGATATTACATAATTTCATATTTGCAAGCTGAATATTTGATTGAAGGCCATATCGAAAATAATAATCCGATAAATCTCTCAATATCTGAGTCCCAGTTACACGTTATTTTTAATATGATTGCAATATGCGATGTTAATAATATGAATTTTGCCAATATAATGTGCACAAATAATATTAATACGACAAAAATAATAAATCAAGCTGGGTAAATGTATTACACGAGTATACTACGTGTAGAAATGGATTATACAATTTCTCAGTGGTCAATGTCAGTGTGTGCGGGTATTTTTAACAAGGCTGGACATTAATTAATTAAAACGTTAAAAGTTAAGTTAATTTTAACTTAGATTTTAACCTTTGGTTTTTTTTTTTTTTTTTTTATTAACTTAACAAATTTTTTTCACATCCAATCCATAAACAACGAGTCAATTTCGTATTATATCGCGTTTAGTTAATATATAGTTACAATTTCTTTTGATTCTGACATAACAATATTTACACTATTATTGTCGCATTAAAATATTTCGTACCATTTATTTTGGCGTTCAAATTTCTATAAAAGTATGATGAACATTTTTATTTTACACGATAAATCTATGTTTGAAATACAAAAAATAAATAAACAAATTATTCAATCGTTATATTCGTCAAAACATTGTTTCATAACTTAAACATATTTTGTACAGTTTTAACTAAACAAAACTCAAGTTTTACTTAAGTTCAACAAAACAAATAATTGCACTATAAATTACTTATACAGGCCGTCCTTTAAAAATATACCCCTTGAATATCTCCGGAGATAATAAAGATAGTTAAATTCTGTTTTTGTTTTCATACATCTAACTCACAGGGATGAGGACTACAAATATTAAATAAATACGGGTTAGTAGAATTTAAAACCGTTGTTACTTAGAAACTGTTCATCGGATATAAATGCATGAATTACAATTTTCAGAAAAATAAACTCTACAGAATGGCTATCTTAAAATTTTCCGAAAATAATGAAATAAAAAGGACGGACATATTTCGCACGTGGGTGCAGCCACTGTTATAGGGGAGCAGTTGGGAAGATAGAATGCAAACGGGAATTTAATGTATATCTGTAATCAAAGATAAGCCATTGCTAACAAAAAAACGATTCTGAGCCGAGTTCAGTTGATAATGTTGCTTTGTCAACAATACAATATATGGTATTATTTCATATTATGGTAAAATGATTAAAATAATATGCGTTTCCATGACAACAATGATTGTTTAAAAAATATTAAAATAAGAAAAACTTAATAATAACAAAAGCTAAATAAAAGGTCACTGCCTGGCCACTGAAAACCTTATTTTTAATTTTTCAATCTTTTTTAACCTAAAGATCAAGGTTTTCCTCATTATCTTGATTGAAGATTAATGAGAATTTCAAAAAATGACCTCTTTAAATTACCACCCAGGGAAAATTTCTTTTTAGAAAATGTGCTATATTTGTTAATCGGAGAACGCTTTCTGGTAGAAAAAGTGATCACATAAAAAAAAATAAACATCATTGTAAAACCAATAAATTCCTCGTTGCACTCAGAATCTAAAAATAATTTTTTTAATTTTTTTACTAAAAAAAAATATTTAATTCAAATATAAATATTTATAGTTTTCATTCCTTTGAGTAATATATAAAAAAAAATCTGAATTTGATTGTCTTTATTATCTCCGGAGATATTCCGGGGGTATGTCTTCGTGGGACAGCCTGTATATAGGTCAGTCTTTAAGTAATATAAGTAATAACATTTTATATTAGATGCATTTGGTGTTTACATAATATTTCGTATTGTAGATGATTACATTAATGTCGGAAATTATATCATATATTTAACTGTCAATTTTAATGCATAGTATAATTATGTAATACGATAGAGTTAATAATTTAAACGCCTAAGAACATTTTCCAATATAAAACAACTAACTTCTCCATAACTCTATCAGACTGTTTAAATAAATACGTATATAATAGCTATATTATATGAATAATACTAATAAATAATAATATTATTAAATCGTTCGAGGCGATTGTATGCTAATTCTTTTCAATATAATATAATAGATGTTACTTACGTTATAGTTTTTAATATGTTTTTGAGTACCTATATCAAATGTATTACAATATAGATGTCGAGAATTAATGCATTGCAACGGTATCGTCCTCGACTTTTTTCCACGGGAGGGGGATAATTAATATTTGATTAAATTGATAATATATTTAGTACAATAAATGCATATTTTATTATTTTAGGAGTTACTATGGATCTGTAATTCAATGAATTTATTAACAGTTTTTTTTCTCACCATATTGAACCATTTAAACTTAATATATTTCTAAAACTGAAGTAAAAACTCAAGTGAATAATTTAATTACTTATAACTTCATCCGGTGTAACATTAACATCCTTGTGGACAGCCAACAATTAAGTTAATCCATTTAAACGATTCTGAAATAAAATCTGAACATATTTAAATTAGTACGTTTATTAGTATACTTCATTATACTTCATTCATTGAGTTTTTGTTGAGTTATTCAGGTGTTTTCACCCTTTTTAATGTTGAAATGTTCCTTCTGGAAATGAATCTGAGACGGGTATTGTATATACAATCTTTAAAAGTTTGTTTAAATTTGGATAAATAGAGGAACTACAGATTTCACAAAAACATTTATGCCAGTTTTGATCATTTCATTATTTTTTTTTTAACAATTTTGTGCACGAGATATTTAGTTCCACTAAACTGTTTTAATGCAATTCGTAACTTTATGTAAATTTCAGTTTTAATTAAAAAATATATCCAAAACTTATAAAAATATATATTTTGTAACAATAATAACCACATTTGCTAATTTTTAAATTATTATACTGATTAAAACAAAATATTCAAAAAGAAATTATTTTTTGTATGCTATAGTAGGCTATTGTAAGCCAATACATCTTTCTTCTAATTGAATTATAAAGAAATTTATGTATGGGAATGAATACTGTACTGCCGTAATAATTTCTAATATTTATCATTTAACATTAATCAGAATCTGTACAGGGATTTGCATTATTAATTGGTCTTTTTGTAATTCTTTCGACTGGTAATTGTATGTAATGTTGATTTCATTTTTGGTCATTTGTTACCAGTGCTACTGAAAATTTAAATCATACCAACATAATTAAGGATGATATAGTTTTTATTTTTTTGATAATCAACATTATTTTAAATGAACGACATACGACCAAACACGACAAAAATACTCAGGGATGACATAAAAACCCTCATCCCACCCACGGGAGCGCACCCCTGCATTGCAGTTGCCCAGCAGTGGCTGAGTAAAAAAACCTTTCAATTGGAGTGAATGCAGTAAATAATTACAATCATAATGGTTTATGAACAAATCGCAGGGTCTCCAAAATATTTAACAGTGCTACTCACTTATCGGTTTCACGTAGAATACAAACACAACATTATAATACGACTCGGGAACTCCCTTTCATTGCGCCCGTCCGTCGCATACTTTGTATTCGCCCGGTTATCAATCCACAACGAATTCGATACGGCCGTCTTGTACCTATTAGCATTGGTTGTATAACGTGCATGTATTGTATTATATTATTATGTAGTTGTATATTATAAAACCAATGCTATTAGTTATCGCCGTTCGAAACGGCGACTTTGAATTCATGTCGCTTTGTGGCGATGAAACCAAAACAAATTGTCTCATCTCCATAAATAAAATGCACCATCTGTCGTTAAATAATTGTTTCTGTGTACCCATTTGTACATTATTATGAAAACTTGCGTTGTACAATTCTGTCTCGGTGATTGATATTTCGTTATATTTCCTTTTACACACACACACACACACACACACACACGCATTTAATTTCCTGAAATTATATTATATTATAAAGCGTGTAAAATAATAAAGTATTCATTGCACTTATAACGGATGTATAATATAATATATTATACTATGGAAATCAAATCATTCAATTACTATAAAATTACTTATCGAGTACTGAAAGATAGTAAATAGTAGGTAGGCGTCATTGTCACAAGTATAATGGCGTATTATTACAAATCATGTGAATTTTACAGCTCGTCTTGGCTAATCTGAACGGCAAATTACGATACTCGGAATTTCGTTCTAATGGCGTACATTTAGCAACCACGAACACTTATGACGGAAAACACGAAGTTCTCGACCGTCGTCATATTTCCGTTAAGCCACGACCATTGACTTTTATTATTATAACAGTCATCATAGACGACTAAGACAATTACTTGTCTAAACTAAAAGGAGTTAACTCAGGTGTCTGATACCAATAATATTATTATTAACTGCATTAACAAACATTTATTTAACCTCTCACGCGCACTAAAATATTAACAGTATTTACGTATTACAAGTACTAATAAGTTGATCGGCTTATAGATTATGATTAATTCTAAAAGGGGGTTTTCGAGACGATCGTTTTTTTTCCCGTTGTACTCGACCAGAACCAATAAATTCGATACAGTTTTAAAGATTGATTTCCCCGCTTCCGATGAATCGTTGATTTAAAATAATAGCACATTTTATTTGCATAAGGCTTTTATAGCTAGATTTATGTCACGACAGTAAGAACGCAACGAAAACCCGTTGCTAGGGAAATGTAACTCTTATGTCTAGTATTGTTTTAAAAAATGCGAAGTATTAGCATGGACCTACTAGAACTTAGTACTCAGTAGTACTTAAATTTTATTAAATGTGTACTTGTACAGAGTACGAGTTTTGACTTTTTTTACCCTATACTAATTCAAAACGAATCAGTTATACATATAAAACGTAAAAGTACTATAAGATTAAATGTGCATCATGTTATTAGATTCGGAGCGTATTATTTTATTTTGTTTTTATACTATTTTTTGATTGTCAATGTCTTTCTAAGATGCCTTTTTAATCGAGTTTGATGTAAGTACCTCGTATTACCTATATGTAATATTTATTATTATTAAAAATCTGCATGTATTGTTTGTTAAACTCTAGTTATTTTTAAATCTTTCGAAAGGATTTATAAAGGTTTATAAATGCCTATATGTATTTTAAAAATATTAGTTTTTAATAATTTAAAATCCACGTATAACCTACTCTAATATTATAATCTATACATGCGTCGTTGTTCTACGCTTATCTATCTTAATTATCTTAATCCCTAGATCTTAATTCTTAAAACGAAATTAACGAACTAAAAAACAAATATTTATATAAACACTTATTTCTATCTAAAAAATATACAAATCACATACCGTAGCTGCTTATGAGGACGTGGTAGCCACATGTGCTATGTTTATAAAATGGAGTCCGTCTTACAGCCGAACTACATAGCGAATTCGCGTTTAGCAGGAACAACTTTGTGATTTGTACTGTTAGTTTTAATATAATACCTATTCACCTATAATATTCGTATCTTTACTTCACTACTGTACTATTATTGTACACCGTCGGTTGTATACGCCTGTAGCTGCTACCTACAATTTACGTATTATACGTATACCCGATTGATTAAATTTTAAATATAGGTACTGGCAATGCATATAAATATACCGGCAGTACTAGCAAACAAATACAGCCGAGTCCCGGCTGAGGGGCTGTGTACGCGGTTAAGCGCAGTGTTCGTTCCGACGACGATGGTTACGTATTATTGTAATACATAATAGTGGTTGGCAGTTCGGTCCGGACCCGGCGATATTGCGATTTATAATATTATTATTATTATAATCGTTAATTATAAAAATATTGTAAATAAAATATCCGTAACGGTAAAATCGGTAAATGTCGTTATACTATTATTACCTTCAACCGATTCCGCGCTGTTAGTTTTAAATATTACAGTGTGTGGCCTACAATATTATCACACTTAAAGGTAAGACCGTCGCCCGTGTATGTACGTTGGTGTTTTTTTTCCCGATATTTCAACATTTTCAATCTGTATTGAGTCCAGGGGACGGATCGGGACCCTAGACGGATAGGTACTCTGCGGTGTAAAAATGTTAGACTTGAACAGAAATGCATGAAAGTTCAACAGGAGGTTCATTAAGAGTCTAATTTTATAGTAAAACATCGAGTTTGATGTAGTATATTTTTTATAAGTGAATTTCAATATTAAATTTTGACGAAAATCGTACGAATAAAAAATTATATGGAACAAATCTAATTTTTCAATTTTTTTTTTTTTTGAACACGTTTAAGATTCACATCGTCGATTTAAGAACGATGGTGATCATAATTGAGCGAAACTGAAGTTTCGAAATTATAACTTTTTGAAGTTCCGATATTATATGTTATGTTAAATAACACTATATTGTTCTTTTTAAAATATATTTATCATGATCTAATGGTTATTTATGTGTATTATCATTCTATGGGTTTCGAGTCAAACCAGTGTGTCGAAAAAAATGTTTGCTTTTTTTTTCCTTTAAACTAAAAAAAGGAAAAAACAAATGTATTTTGGATGTATCTAGAGACCTAAGCTATCACTCCCTCAAACAATTTTAACCACAAAATACCCCCCGATTTGTTGTACAGACTTTTACTAGAAATCTTGCCCCGATGTATCAATAGTGTAGCTTATTTTCTGAAAGGAAATTTCATCTCTATGGTAGTTTAAAGAAGTCATTTTTTAATTTTTCAAGCGGTTTTCATATTAATTGGGAAAACCCAGAATAAAATGACGGAAAAACGAAAAATGTACAAAATGTAGGTATATAAGTAAAAAAATATTATGGCCTTTTTTTCTGAGTAAAACTTTTATACCAGGAATTTCGCTCCAATTTAAAATTATAGCACTTTTTCTGAAAGGAAATCTGACTGAAAAGGTACTTTAGGGAGGTATATTTTTTTGATTTCCTCAAGAGTTTTCACAGAAAATGCGAAAAACCGGGAGAAAAAATAGGAAAATCAGTATAATGTTAAACAAATATTATTAAAGAAAATATATAATGCCTATTTAATTATTTTTCCGTAATATGGCATATAAATTGTTGACAAATCATCACTATCAACTGAACTACTGAACCGTTTTTTCGTAAGTAATGGTTTATCGTTGCTTACAGATGTACATTAAATTACCTATAACAGTGGCTGCACTCATCTCCATTATCCTAGGACGTCTTTTTTTTATATTTTAGATGCCATCTAATGTCATCTACCTTCGCAACGCTTTTTATGAAAATAAAATGTCGTGAAACCAATCAAAAAAAGACGTCCTAGGATAATGGTATCAGGTGCAGCAGCTGTTGTAAGTAATTTAATCTACACCTGTAAGCAACGATAAACCATTGTTAACGAAAAAAACGATTCTGAGTGGAGTTCAGCTAATAGTGATATTTTGTTAACAATATATATGTTATATTATGGTAAAATTTCAAAATTAATCCGCGCGTGCGTGTATGATGTATTAAAAAAAAAAAAAAACGTATATTGTTATTATAAATCCTCCTCCCGACGATTAAGATAATCGCGGGATTGACAACGTTCGAGAAAACAATCGCGGGCCGGGAACACAATAAATAACCTTAATAATCGCCGGCCATTCATTATTATTATTATTATTATTATTACTGTTACTGTTATCATCGTTTTTCACCTGTTGTCTCTCGATAAAACGAAGTAATAATTTTTAAAGACGGGCGCGCGCGTGTGGGTTCGACTACGCGAGTGTCGTTCGGCCGTGCCGGACTCATCCGCCGCAATACGAGAGTTCACTCGGCGCGCGACAGTCGGCTCTGTTCGACGTGATTACGTGCACGTCGTCGGTTTTCGCGGGGATCACTGTTAAACGCTCGGCGGCAGATCTGTATTTTTCCGAGTTTTTTTTTTTTTTTTTTTTTCATCACTATTTACTCAAATGGCATTATTGTCCGTCCCGTGAAAACGTCACACGGCGGTAAACCGTTTCGTTTGAAACTCGCGCGGTCGCGTTTTCCCATTCTCGTCGAAACGGCAACCGTCCGCCCGCGATAATATAACGGACATAATCCGGGTACATATATCGACCCCCCCCCCTACCCCCGTGATATTATACCGGGTGTCCGCGAAACGAATCGCACGTGTCTTCGAATATATTCCAAAATTAGGTAACCGTTATTCGTATCGAAAAATCGCCCGGCCGACGACACCGTATCGCAATGAAATTCAATTCACGTAAGTGTCAACACGGTATATGTTATAATATTTACGTACCCGTGTATTTACACACTGCGGGTATAAATACCTGGGTGTACCGTAAAATCTTTTTTTTTTTTTTTAATTAATTTATATTTTGCGCTGTTAGTTTTAAACATTGGAGCGTGCATGTCGGCCTGTTATTATCAGACTTAAAGGTAAGATACATTTTCGATGTTTGTGCGCCGGTTTTTTTTCCCTCGATATTTCAATGTTTAAGCCAGATACTGATAATTTTTTAAACACCGTAATATTTCTCACACGTTCGTAACTCGTTTGAGTATAAAATGGTCAAAAACAAACTAAAAAAGTACGCAATTAGACAATATTTTTAACTTAAAGTTTAACAATAAGCTAATATTACTTAATAATACGCGCTGTAATATTAAAACCAACAGCATAAAATCGGTTTTCATATATATATATATATAAAAAAAAAAAAAAGAATAAGTATTAAGACATTAACCAATGAACTCAGTGAAATTGCTCAATTTATGGAATCACATTAAATTCAATACGTTTTTAGTTGAGACGCGATCAAACTGATCGAAGATAAGATAACGGGAGGAGTTTTGACCCCTTAAACCATTTATAAAAGTGATTTCATAAGATAAATTTTAATGTGGATAATATTTTGATCAAAAATCTATTTAAAAAAACTTAATAAAAACTAAAATAAGAATATAGTTTATGTGTCTTGGCATACCGCGTTTTTACTACGTTATTAAATAATGACAGTAAATAAAAAATTATATATTCATATCAGGCCACCTATGCACCTATTTCCCTGAATATTTCCCTGAATTTCCCTGCAATCAATATATTTCAGGTGAATACGAACGTTATCGAAGCAATGTCCCAGCGAAATATTTATTTTATTTTAAATATATTATATGGGCATTTGCTGCAATGACTCCCGTGTACTTCGGTCGATTAGTGAAATGCACTGGTATATAGCCGAATGAGCGGGTGGGTTGTCTGAAATATTATTTTGCGTATTAAAATTGAATAGCAGTTATGGAAATGAGCAAAAACTAATAAATCAGTAACTGCTTTATTATGCGGGTATAATTGGTCCTGACCTGTACTCTGTACTATAACGATACTGTAACGTGAAATTGTAATTAACATTAATAATATTAAATGAAATATTTATACTGACAGATAAACGCATTTTTTTAAAAATGTTAGATAGAAGGTTTAGTAGACGATTTGAGTATTTTTCTGTTTGTACTTCAATATACATCGACGATGATACTTTTAGGTCATTCCGAAGGCTATGAAAACATTGAGTAATACGTTGTTTAGATTTTTAAAGTATCAATGTATAGATTTTCAAATGTATCGAAAAGTTTCAGATAATCCATTGACAAATTATCTAGGTTATTTAGAAAGTCAATTTTTAAATTTCAAGTTTCAATCACCTACATAATTGAGATATTATTTTTGAAAATTTCGTGTAAATCACCGCATTAAATTTGTATTTATTTTGGATTTCAAATGCAAATACATCACTGATAGTGGGATGAGTGGGCGAGTATCGAAAAATATAACTGCACTGGCTTTTGAAAATCCTCTGGGCTCCAGTGGGTATTTGAACTCCTTCTTTTTCTTTGTCTTCTTCTTAACAGCTTAACGAGTCGTGTAGCCCCATCGTTGTCACCATTATATCGTTCCATCGGTTCCTATCATTCGCACCCTCTATAATTGCGTGTTTTCGTGGATCATTTCCAGGTATTTATCACTACGTCCATCCATCTCGTTCGGCACCTTCCTACAGGTCTTTTCCAAATAATTTTACCCACTGTTACTCGTTTGATTATTATTGTTTCCACTGCCTTCCATTCTATCCTCTTGCTTTTGCTAATGTTTAGCAGCTAAACGACAGGACGTTCGGCCTTCCATAAATATTTTGCAAGTCATCGTTGTCTTTTTTCATATTAGTTCATCGTATATGAACTTGAAAATAAATAATAATGCAATATAAGTTCCTTCTAATCAGTAGCAGACAAATCCGAAAGATTATACCTACCCGTCGTTTTACACGTGGAAATATTAATTAATTTATCGAGTGTAATTCTAATCGTATCGCCGGGAATAATAACTACGATATTAGAATACTACGAATAATCGTAATCATGTTATTCACATAAGTACAATATTCTATTATAATGTTATGACCTAGCTGTACGCTGTACCCAAATTCGATATTCTATATCATACAGGCGGTTTGTCCTTATCGGTCGTTTTACCGAAAATTATTATTGCCGTTCATACCGATTAACAAATGCAAATGCAGAAAAAAATAAAATAAAAACCAAATTTATGTCCGGTTGTAGAAAATAATGCACACCACGGAATATACATTTTAAAAAAAGTTAACATTTTTCAATATAATGAGCGTAGCCACTTATATAGATCATCCGGTATGTATTGAAAAATAAAATTTTGACTCGTCGGCCCTGTGCGTGGTTCAGTAGTCCATTTAAATTTTATTGTGTAGTTACTAAACTATATCATCTTTTGATTAGTGAAAACGGATAATGAGGTCGTGTTTGATAGTAATAAATACATGTTAGGTGATTTTGTGCCGTCTAACGAACAATTTTTCTTGGATAATTTTCAATCTGTGAACAACTTGAATTAATGCTCATCGTAATATAATATTAAGTACCTAAGTATAAAATATTAATTTTAAATTCTGGGCACAGCGAGGAATGTATTGGTTTCACTACGGAGTGTGCTTTGTTACCTATTTATTTTTTTTGATCTGTGAGCAACTTTTTCTGACAGAAATCTTGTCTCAATCAAAAAGGCAATTTTTGTTGCATTTCGAATTGAATTGGTGTATTATTTTTTTGATGTTCTGAGCTGTTTTCATAACCATTAGGAAAACCGGTAAAAAAAAAAAAAACGTTTGGGAAAAACGGATAAATATTCGCGGTGTTAACGATTTCATTATTTAAAAATTTTTGAATTTTTTTCTTACCAGAAATCTTACTACAAATTTCAAGAGTAGTGTTTTCTCTGATAGTAAACTTATTTGGCTGATGAGCGAGTAGATTTTTGATTTTCCAAGTAGTTTTTATCATAATTAGGAAAACCTAGAAAATACGAAAATCACGGTTCACTATTTTTTATTTTGGTTTTTTGTTGTTATTCGGTTAAAAATACTCAGTGGCACATTTGTTACCCGCTCTTTTTTTTCTTTTCTTTTTTATAATTCGAAGATAAATAGGAATAATTTTTTTAACGAAATAAATAATTATTTGTTATTCTTCAAATATTTACATATAGTGTAAATATACACTAATCGTTTATTATTCTAAACATGTACATAACCTTGATATATGTACTTTAAATGAATCGACTGCAGTTAATGAATCCATATCATAATTATTATGAGTGTATATTGTATACTTATAATTATAATTGAAACAAATCGTCAAAAAAAAACAAGCCAACACAATGGCTTTTGAAACAATTCTTTAAGTGTTTAATGTAAATTTTGTCTTATCGAACAAATTTGTAAATTTCATTTTTCGATTATAATATGAAATCGACCCACATTGCGTGATAGTGAGTCAACAAACTTAGGTGCGTATAGGTACCGGTTTTACATACCATTCATAATTTGAACTTGTACCTACCTAACCTTATAATACCTATACGAGTTTCGCGAACAAATCCATTACATTATTTATTATCAGTTTAATTCGGTTAAAAAAACAATGTTTAACACAGAATATACTGTTTGAGTTTTAAACTACATTTAGTTTTATTATTGTTACGGGTATTATTTCATCATTAGATACTATAGACAGACATAAGTCGATATGTCAATTGTATAATATTAACATATTAACAGGTTTACATTGGGTTTTATCGATAAATAATCATAGTTCATTAAATTCGGTCCAGCCGCTTCGCTGTTGATCTGGTAGGTCGCCAAATCAGTACTATAACCAGGGTTGTGAATTTAGTACTTAAAAAATTTTTAAAAAAATGTCTTTCTTAAAAAAAAATTTGAAATTAATAAATTACAAATGTAAGGTAGTAACCACGGCGGGACATTACTGGTATTGATGATTAGAAAACAACTAACGTCTATCATTATCACGTACATAATATTATCATTACAGAAGTACGTGACTGATAAATCAGATAAACATGATACTTTTAATTGGATGCACAATAATTCAAATTTAGAGTACAATGGATTATGCGAGTAATTGGCCTAATCACGGTATAACGTCTTCTTCGTGATCTCGACAACAAGGGAAAAGACACTATTATATAAAAATATTTTTTTTTTACATTTTGTTTGAAAAATAGTTTCTAAAAATATACCATTTATACAAAAACGTAAACATACCCCCAACCAACGTTTCGGAACCGACGCAGTTTGTGGATTTATATTATCCTGCTCGTGTAGGGTTTATCGTTTTATGCGTGATTTATGCGTATTAATATATACCTAGCCTAACATAAACTATCCCATTGGGTTTTGCGCAGGATGCATATCCCAGAGATGGGTGATGGCCCTGATGGGGATGTTGGGCGTGACGATGGCCTACGTGATGCGGGCGTGCCTGGGCATAACCCTCACCCAAATGGTCAAGCCCGTGCTCGTGGACGCCGATTCGGTGACGGCCGTCAAACACAACTACTGTCCGGTACCGGAGAGTTCGTCGCAAAACTCAAAGTCCAACAGGACCATGCACGTCGAGGACTACAGCGATCGGTTCGATTGGGACGATGAGACCCAAGGCAAGGTGCTCTCGGCGTTCTACTACGGTTACATAATCACGCACTTACCGGGTGGCGTGCTTTCCCAGAAATTCGGCGGCAAGCACACCATGGGAATTGGCATACTTTCCACCGCCGTTTTCACGCTGATGACGCCGTTCGTGGCACGCATGGGCTCCATGCAGTTGACCATCCTCCGGTTCATCGAGGGTCTCGGAGAGGTAAGAATCAACCTCGATCCAGATTCGAGCGATATGGGTCTGGTAGAAAACAAGAATCGATGTTTACAGTTGAAACCCTCATTTTTCAAAATAAAAAAAAATTGAATAGAATTTTTCATTTTCGATTGTTAATATTACCGTCGTTCTAATAATTATATTCTTACGTTACAGACAAGTCGCAAAAGTTCTTTAGATAGGTAACGATTTGTACACTAATAATAATAACGTAACAAATGCCTCTATGCGATTCATTAAACTTTTAATAAATGTGTTAAAATACGTAAACTTTTAATGCCAATTAAAATTGCGTTAATTTTTGTGTTATAAACAATTTTTAGCATTACAAAGCCCTAAGGTTTCATCGAATATCTTAAAAGAAAAAAAAAACATTTCGAAAATATCAACTGCCGTTAAACAGCTCAAAAATCATCACTTGAATGTTTTGAAAATTTTACCACGCATAAAAAAGACCAATATTGTTATTCTATGAAAAATTTAGATTCGTACAATTATTTTTAACCTAATTAAAAACAAAAACAATATCAAAAATAGTGAAATCGTTGATAATGTCCTGAACTTTGTTTTCCGTACGGTTATTTCAAACTATTAAGAAAACTAAACGGAAAATCATAAATCGAAGTAAAAATCGGCGTAAAAATAACATCATCTACGAATTACAATACATTAGGTATTTTATCTCTAATACCACGTTGAAAGGGGATACTTTTTCCTATACGGTGTGAACATGTTTTTGAAGTCATTTCATGATTAACTTTATACTTGCGATAATATTTTACACAAGACTATGTTATTGAGAATGTGTCTGAAAATGTTTAAATAAATAAACGTTTCATTTTTTTTAAATTTCATTAAAATTTAATAGTATCTTAAATCTATATATATATACAGGTGATACACGAATTGATTTTTTAGCTTTGAACAGATCGATCATTACCAAGATAGTTTGCATCACGCCTGTTTTTTTGTTTTTTTACAGGGTACGACGTTTCCGGCGCTCTGCACGCTACTGGCACAATGGGCTCCGCCAGAGGAAAAGGGAAAACTGTCCACGCTGGTGTTCGCTGGCGTGCAGATAGGTAATATTTTTGCAAACTTCCTGAGCGGCTTCATAATACAGTACATACCCGGCGGTTGGCCGAACGTGTTTTACTTCTTCGGCATCATTTCAATCGTCTGGTTCGTATTCTGGTGCATATTCGTCTACAACGACCCGAAATCCCATCCGTTCATCTCGGACGAGGAACGCGATTACTTACAGCATTCGATAGGGAGTCTAGAGAGAAAGAAGGTATTTTAGAAAATATTAGCACTATTCGCAGTGAGTTGATACGATTTCTATAATATAATGTAGAACTTGGTGACGACGCCTTGGAAGTCTATTTTGACGTCGTGGCCGGTTTGGGCCTTGATCATCGCCGAAGCGGGACACGATTGGGGTGGTTTTACAATCATCAGCGATCTTCCTAAGTACATGAGCGACGTTTTACATTTTTCCGTGACCGAAGTAAATCAATATGAATATAGTAAAAACCGTAACGGCTTTTGTTAATAATAATGTTAATGGCTTGTTTAGAACGGTTTGTTATCGTCGCTCCCATACGTGGCTCAATGGATCACTTCAATCCTGAGCAGCATACTGGCCGACCGATTCATTAACAGACGGGTGTTGAGCGTCACTGCGGTTAGGAAAATTTATGCCGTCATCGGTAAATAATATAAAGTAACCATCGGAAATAATGTGCGAATTGATAACGTTTTTCGCTTTCCGCAGGAAACGTCGGCCCAGGTCTGGGAGTGATGGCCGCCTCGTACGTGGGCTGCAACAAAGTCATGGCCACATTTTACTTCACCTTGGGCATGGCACTCATGGGATTCTGTTATCCCAGCATCCGTGTCAATTCGCTCGACTTGTCGCCGAATTACGCGCCGACCATAATGGCCCTGGTGAACGGCATTGGTTGTATATCAGGGATGGCCACTCCATACGTCGCCGGAATTCTTACACCTAATGTATGTACCTGGATTACGTTTTTAGATACCAATCTAATAGTTTTACTATGATTGGTCTGTAAACCTCCACTTTTCTACCAGAAATCTAGCTCCAGTCAAAAACGTTATAGGAACTCTCTTGTGACATTTTGGTCTAGTTGGTGTGTCGAGAACGCGGTTTTCTGATTTTTTTTTTTTTGTAGCTTTTTGAATAAATAAGAATAATTATCATTTTTTTTTGTATTATATACATTTTTTTTTTTTAATAGGCCTAATCGATCAAATTTTGTATAGGTTTTGATAACTCAAGAGTGACGAGACTGAGACGGTTTGGACATGCGATGAGAAAAAATGCAAACAAATAGAGTGAGATGTAGAAAAAGGAGTGACAAAACAAAATAGAGATTGTGTAGATACGACTGAAAGAACTAATGTGACGTGCAAAGATGATGCGGGAAACCGTGTCGAGTGGAGATTTAGGATCGTGATTGCTGATCCAAAATGGGAAAAGAGACGAAGGTGGGAAGCGTTTTATAAATAGGTTTCGTAAAGATTATGTTTGATTCCAAAATATAGATTCGTGTAAACTATTGATCTGGTTTAAATTTTAAAACAATTGACATTAATAGGTATCAAATATCAATTAATATTACTTATTTGCTTTTTTAACGATTCAGAGAACCGTGTTGGAATGGCGTCTCGTGTTTTGGATCATGATGATCGTGATGACGGTGTCGTCCGCGATTTATGGAATATTCGGTACCGGCGAACTGCAACCGTGGGACGACTTGGAAGAGTATTACCAAAGGGAAAAAGAAAAGCAAAAAAAAGGATTGCCAATGGACGAAAGATTAAGTATAATATATTCGAAAGAAATAGAAGAAAGAAGAGTGTTGAAATAGCATGGCATGTCAGACGTTCTTTTCGATCATATACATTCGGCATAATTAACTTATACTTGTACAAAAACTATCCTACATTATAAATATACGATTTGAATGTATGCATTATATATATATATAGTCGTATACGTTACCTATTAATTAGTATATATGGAATCGTGTAAATACTAATATTAAATTATTTTATTTAAAATTCGTGTGTTGTTAAAACCTGATATTATATTACTATGTTATACTCGTACTTTACGATAAGATATTTATGAATTTATTTTTATAAAAACGAGTTATTTATTTTTAATATGTACAACGTATAATTATTTATGTAATATGAGTATACTTGATGCATTTGTTTAAAACAATTTATAAAACAAAAAAAAATCGTCAGCGACACCGTATTCAAAAATTATTCCGATTACAAAATAATCACCCGAGTTCCCGAGTGATTGAACACATTAAGATCCTGAATTTTCATACATTTATAATATGAAATGACAAAAACTAAATGAGTGCAATAACGTTTATCTAACTGTGTTTTGTCGATGTAGGTTAAGTATGGGTATAATTATGCGATTTGCGATTGTTGATTATTCGATTAATGTTCAAACTTAAAATCATAATGTATATATATATGTATATTGAAAATTGCTTAATCAGCTAGGTACATGTTTAACCTCGCTCAATCATTTCACAACATAAAAATATTCATTTCTATAGGATCGAACCGTTCGATACTATTATGAGGTTCGAGCCGGAAATTAGAAAAACCTTTATCTACATAACCTAACCTATAGGTTACAAATATCGCGGACTGCGGTTTTTGATGAATTGCTTAGAAATATAATTGCGAAAAAAATCAACCGCTTTGCAAGTCGTTCAGCAACAAACTGCACGAAACCGGATACTACAATTAAATAGATAAATAGATTAATTGGATGTCTTATAGTCATTACATTTTTTTTTTTATTATTATTATCTTTTATCATTAAACTGATCAAATAATATGGGTAGGTTGAATACATACATAGATATACCTGTATATTTTTTTTTCTGCGACGTCCTTCGACAACGAAATCACGTCCGGTAAACCTAAATAATGCGGTTAACACAAGTCTTTTAGTAAAATTAGTAAAATTAATGTAATTGTATAGAATTTTTTTTTTTTTTTAAATCGGGTTTGGACGTATTTCCACATTCAGGATTTAATATTACACGTTTTTACTTTTAACGTTATTTACGTACGTATAAGTATGTATAGGTACCAGGTACACACATTTCGCCTATTAAAAAAAACAACAATTGAAAAATAGTTAGGCAGGTATTTAGATGGAGGCATTAGGGGAATATATCTCCCCTCTTTGACCTTTTTATATATATAATTAATCATTTACATATGCACGATGATTTTCTCTTATTTTTAAGTTCAAATTGCTTTTATTTTTTAGCTAAGGAAATCAACAATTTATTGTAAGGTATTAAAACTTGCTAAATTTGTTAGGTACCTTACCTAAGTAGCAGGCTAAATGTAGAAGGTATACAAAGTATAAATAATTTTTGTTTCAGACTAATAATCGACCTATTTTGTTTTTAACACGTTATTAATAAATATGTATATCACAAATTTCAATATCTCCCCAGCTCAGTCTCTTTTTTGATAAAATCCTATAATCAAATACTGCAATAGGTGGTAATTAATAAAATTAATAAGTAGGTGCATAAAAATGCCTACCCAACATTGATCCGTATACCAAGGGATTTTTTCAAATTTAGTTTTAAAACGTGTTCAAACCGAACTTTCAAACATTTCACATTGAATTCAAATCTGTTTTCAGGATTGTTATTTCTTATTACTTTACTAAGTATATCGATCGGTCTGATTGAAAGCAAATTGGTTTTAATTTTTACCGATATGTGTTAGACATTAAATGCAAATATCGATATTAAATCTCTTCAATAATAGGTTTGATAGATTTAAGTATTATTGGTACTCAATGAAGGCGTCAAGGTAGTTCTACGAATTTGAAGAGGTTTTCAGGTTTTTTTAAATGAGTGGAATCAATAGCTTGGGCAGCTATGTTGACGATGACTAATATGTAAAAAGTATTTTTTTTTGAAGTATGCGACTTATTTAACACCAACAGTATAATAAATACATTACCTATACAACACAACAAAAGAGTAGGAAATAATTATAAATTGCATATATATTTTTAAATCGAGAATTCTTCCCTATTCCTCCGGTCTAAACTTTAAACGGTTATAAATCATAAACGGAAAACTGGTATTAGTGTTATGCACATCAAAAATTCTAGCAAAATATTTTCTATTCGAATCTATGTTCGAAAAGGAGGGGATTCTCATTCGAAAAACAAAAGTATATACTTATTTAAAGAGTATGGAGTAGAGGTATAAAATTAAAAATGGTTTTTAAAATAAAGTTTAAACGATTACATTGAAATATTGATTGAAAAAAAAAAAAAAAAACAGAAATCGAAATCACTTAAATCCTCCGTGAAAATTGCTAGTTCATTATAAAAAAAATCACCCTGTATATAAGAACCTGTGTAAAATACTTGTATATTATATATATATATGTATAATGGGGAGGAGCGAGGGTCTTTTATCAATAAATGGGTAGGTGAGTGGGTCAAATGATTTCACCAGACTCACACGTGATGTAAATTCGTGCCGTCGCTGTTGATCGGTACAATATCTACTAATTTTGTATGTACGCACAGATCAGGCAGATAACACTTTTCGGTTTTCTGAGGAACTGATAATGCTATTATTTATCTCGTGTTAATTTATTTTTGCACACAGGTTTCACGGCTAGATTTCGATATAGGTAAAGGAATCCCGTGGAACGCACCAAAAATACCGTGCGGTAGATCATCATAATGTAAAATATGTATAGGCCTCGACCTTTCAAATAGTATTAGTCACGTAAATTTCGTCTGTATATCAATAGTACGGTTTACGGTATCGGTTCAAGGTTCAAAAGCGTGGAATCATAGATTATCAATGTATATTGTTATATCGGAGTTAAAAAATCAACTACCTAATATAAATTTGATTAAAGAAAAAAGAAAAAAACATGGACGTGATTGGCGAAACGATTGTGGATTTTTTCATAGGTGAACATCGGGAGGAGGGCTTAGAAGGGCCAAACTCCCCCAAACAATTTTAAAGTAGAGGTCTTAGCCCCGCCGACCGGCTGGTCCTTAAAATAATTGTAAAATGACGGAACAATAATTCATTATTATAAACATATTTTAATACTTATTTTCAGATATTTTTTTCCTACTGTAAAGCTTTTAATTTAAATATGGTCAACAAATAAAATACAAATATTTTTTAAGGACTTTTAATATCAAATTTTGACGAAAATAAAAAATTATGCGCAAAAAATCTAATTTTACATGTATTTTGTTTTGAACATTTGTATAATGCCGATTTAAGAATGATGACGAAGTCAGAATTAAGCGAACTAACTTATTTTCGAGCCAATTAAAGCTATTTGAAGTTCTGATAGGCGGATATTATATATCATATCAAATAACTCAATATTGTATAATTTTATAGTATGTATATCGTAGTCTAGTGGTGGTACCTACATATTGTCATCTTAGAGATCACAAGTTCAAACTCGAGTTATAAAAAAAAATTGTTTGGAGGTGTACCTAGAAACCCAAGCCGTCGTTTGGACTATTTTAATCGACAAATACCCCACGATTTGTCGTGCAAACTTTTATACCAGAAATCTTGCTCCGATGTGTCAATTATAGCACCATTTCTGAGAGAAAATTTTATCTACACGATACATTAAGGGTGTCATATTTTAATTTTCCAAGCGGTTTTCATAATATCCGGAAAAAAAACCAAGCTATTGTTCATTTATAATTTAATTGAAAATATTCGACCAGCGTTTAACCTGGGTAGCCCATGTTAAAAGTAAACGGCTCCTTCTCAATTCGAAGCGTAAATCTCTGCATTACTTAATCGGTAAACATTCTAAGATCAGTAAAAAAACTAAACTATTCCTCTATAAAAGTTCATTGATGCCCATTTGGACACACGGCATCCAACTATGAGGAGTTGCCAAAAAATCAGATATTTACCAAATCCAGACCTTTCAATCCATAAGTCTTCGTATTATCACAAATTCTCCAATATACGTTTCAAATCTCACCCTTTATACTGACTTAAAAATAAACACAGTAAAGAAACTGTAAAAGTACTATACAAATCACCATAATTCCCTTAATTTCAGCACTTAATTCAGACACCATTCCTGGCAATCCTCCTTGCCAGATTAAAGAGAAAATGGGGTTGGGACCTAATTCTTTAGGAAAAAAAAATAAAATTAAAAACCTAATCAAAATTAAACTAACCCTGATATAAAGTGTCGCCATTAAGTGGCTACTTTCTTTTCATGTGTCTCAAGCAATAATTTATTTCCGTATACAAGCTTATTGTAATTACTGATTTACAGATTTTTAAAAAATATAGTTAAAAAAAAAATATATATATATATTCGTAGTAACTTAAAATTTGGACAAAAAACTTAAATTTGAATTTTCTAGACGTGGTAAAACTACAAGCATTTGAGCAATTTTTAAATTTGTACAGACATTTTAATTTTGTGAGTAATTTTTATTTGGTAGGTACCTGTTTTATGGATACAATTATTAAACTTAAAAGAAATAGGTGTTCAAATTTTAATGACAATTATTATGAAAACTGATTAATTTCACAATATTTTTAGCTGAATTTTGAATCTCAGAATTGTGTTCCGTTAGCAATGATTATTTTATTATGTATAGATATAAATGAGATTACTATATTTATCCTACTTCTTCCTCTATAACAGTGGCAACCCAATAACAATATCAGCTTTTTTTTAAATTTGTAAAATATATATAAATTTTAAAATATGTTACAGTAGAAACCGCTTATAATGACATTCAAGGGATTAGTTAAAATTAGTTATGCTAACTAAAATGATAAAAATTAAAAAACTTGATTATATATATATATATATATATGTATATGTATTGTTATGAACATAATATTGTATTACAATCAATGCGTCATATTTTTACGACTAAATAGGGATTTCAATACATACAGAAAAAAATAAAATAAAAAAATTTGTTTTATTATTTTAAATTTAAATACAACTTAATATAATTAGTATGGATAAGAGATTTTTCTAATAAAACTTAAAGATAATCATCGTAAAATCCGTAAAGCAAATATACAGATGTTTTAATAATTAATAAAAATTAGTACATACAACTTAGGAGTTTTGCTGGGACCTGCAATCTAAGGTCAATACACCAGATAAGTCACTACAACCAGTGTCATTATAAATAGTATCTACTGTATTATTTATTTGAATTTAAGGGGCTATAATTATCTTTAAATGTATATGAATTACATACTAACAACCAAGTTACATTACTAATTACACAATATTTACGAATCTTGATATTCGTTGATCTTTATTTTAATTAAATTACTATACTAATACACAAATAGTATTATTGTTAATGTATTCATTTGGATAATGTAATCTTGCCATGGTATATGTTTCTTTTCAATAAATGATTATTATTAAACAAATATTTAATGTTGTGTCATAACAGATAGATAAAGTACGTAGATAATTAAAAATAATTTCTGACATATTAATATGCCATTATAAGGAGAGAACAAAATATTACGGATAGAAAAACCAATCAACAACTGAGTGGAAATAAGTAAACTAATTAAATTGTATAAATATTTTTTCTTTTAATTTAAATAACAAGACCCCAAACAAAATTTAAATAAATAATATTGGTTTATAGGTACATTAATGCATTTATTAAAGAATAAAATTGATTTTGTAATAGTAATATCATAATATATGTTTATACAAAAATTTGTTTTTTTTTTTTTTTAGTAAAAATTCTTAACTACAGCGAAGAAATAAAAATCACACAATATTAACAAGAATTATACGCTTATCAGTTATCATTGATCAAGCGTGAAATAGTATCACAGGTTTTTGTTGACTAACAACTTCAGTCAGTCTTTTACAAAACAATTATTTTCAGTACCCAAAATTGAGGACTTTTAACCTGACGCTAAATTTCCCAAAGTATTTAGAAAAATAATAGTGTTTGGATTGCTCAAAGGAACCAATTTTGTTTCATTTAGTAGGACTGAGAAGAAAGTTCATATAATATTTTGAACACAATAGAAATCACTATAAATAGTATTTGTCATAATAATTTGAATGCAAAGATTAAAAAATGTATAAGTAAACAAATATAGAGAGTGGCATTGTGAAAATTATGAACTGTACGATTTTGATCTGTATACTAATGGAAATTTAAATAGTAAAGCTATAATAAATAAAGTTCTGAATTTGTTTTAAATTTATAATCACTGTTATAAAAGCCATGAGATATACTTTGGACGGGCTATCATAACGATTTAACCGTGATTTCCAGGTAATTACAAAACAATTGTTTGGAAACATAATGTTTAAATTTAACATTAGAAAAAAAAAGTTGTTGTCTTTTATATTATTTTAAAGTACATCGCCGAGTTTTTTTCCAGTTCCTTTGTCGCTAATATTTTGATTAGCTTGGTCATTTTCATATTCAACAAAATCGTCAAAAACACTTGGCCAGGCTTCTGTGTCATCATAGTTAGAAAGATCACCATTGGATACAGATTCAGCAAAATTATAAAACATGTTCCAAGTATCTTTAGGAATACCTCTTATATTATCTTGGCTTTCCAAGAAGTTCAACCAACGTTGTAGTATCGCTGGTTCACGACCATTAAAAATTAGTTTCCATAATACGATGGCCGTATCAACTGGAAGAATACGTTGTCCAACAGCGTTGTCCAATCCAAATTTAAAAGTAAACCTGAAAGTAATAAATATTTTATAAAAAATAAAAATAAATATATAATGGTATTTAAAAATGTATTTAAGCTATTACCTGTATAAGCTTTTAAACTCCTCAATGTTGTCTTTGAGCTCATTAGCTACATCGGATAATTTATTTTTCATTGAAGACACAGAATCTGCCTGCAGTGCATTACAACCGTTAGTAAATTCTGGACGTGTGAAACGACACATCTGATGAGCATCACATTTCCATGCTAGTATAAGGATACGAAATTCTTCGGGCGACATCTGTAAATCACTACACAGTCTTTCTATGCCGTCAATCACTATCAAGTCTTCGACAGCATCTTTGTATGTATCAAACAGTTTTTGAACCTTGGTTTGAAAACTTTTGGCAGCAAAATTATTTAGTCGCATCATATTAGTCTTGCTCAATGTAGACGTCAAGCGATTACAAGTAAACGTAGAACGCACACTACCACAATTATCACTACCAACTGATCCCGTGACAGTAATACTTCGAGATCCGTTAGACATTAAAGGAGGTCTCATATCATTTGATCCAATACCTATTAATTGACAAATTATAATTTTTTAATTAATTACTATTTTTTTACATCAACTCAATATTTTAAAGTATAAAAAGTTATGTGTAAATATATGTACTTTCATTTTATAGAGTATGCTAGGAAGTTTTTATTTTAAAATTAAATGCATTTTTAACCAAAGTTATGCAGATTTTTAAATTATTTTAAATTTAGGAAAACACCATAATAATTGTTATTAATTATTGTTATCAGACACTCAAAGTTGAAAAAAAAAAAATGAAAAGGTATAGGATTCATAATGTTAATTAATATCCTAACTCAACAATAAATTATTGTTAACGAAATAAGATTCAGAATGAAGTTCAGATAAACATCTTTTGAATTGCTGATTTTTAAGATTTTCATCAAAAACTTAAATCGCTACGAAAAAAACACTACATTTGTATATTAAAAAAAAAAACAAGGTTTACCAACTGTTTTATTAATAATATTCAATAACAAACAAAACAATAAACATTCGTTCTCTTCTATTTTAGTTACGGAATAGCCTATTTCCTCACAATAATTTAAATGGAATTTCACATTACAAGATTATTCTAATTCAATTTGCTTTGAATTATTAAGGAATACCAACTATCACAAGATGAATAAAAAAAAAAGTGAGACAAATAAAACCGAACATGAACAGACTTGTGGTTGATGAAACAAAAAAAAGCGATACATTATAATGTATTTTATAAACATTTGATTCTATTATTTTATTTTTAATAGAATTACAAAAAAAAATATGAAACTGTTAATGCCATAAACTTTTCTATTTTCCCTGCGGTTTTTTCCAATTATAACATAATCTAAAAATGAAAACCATAAACCACACTCTTTATATATAGAAAATAATTTTTTTTCAGATAAGAAATTTGAAATTTGCAACAAGATTTTTAATAAACATACAAATTTTAAATCATGAAATTTTTAACACCGTACATATTTGTTCATTAATCCTATATATTTTTTCCTAATTATTATGATAACCACTTAGAAAATTTAAAAAAAATCACTTCTTCAATGCATGAACTATAAATGACTTATAGATCTAAAATGAAACAGACAAGGTCTCTTATGCTCCTTAATTAATCTGAGGATTTTTTGGATGTATCCAAATAGAATTGGATGATATATAAAAGAACAAAATTCCGTTTAGTAAAAAGGTACTCTATTAGTAGATATATCAATCCGGTTGATAAATCATGAATTAAGGAACACAGATGTCCATACAATTTATTAAAATCAAGTAGGTATACTTATTAGTATACCTAGGTATTTTATATTTTGAAAATATATATAGTTCAAAACTACACAATACACCATATTGACGTGAAAATAATTTCTCGGGTAAAACAAATAAAACATAGGTTAAGTAATAATCAGATAATAATATAAGTTGAAAGATTTTCTTTCTAAGAGCCATTATTATTATTAAAACATATATTCTTTAATTTAGTATTTCACCTTCTAATCTTTTGTCGAGGGCATTGTTTAAATGTTCGTCTTCGTCGTCGTCGCTTAAATTTGACACAGGTCTAGTGGTACTCTTAGAGCGCAAACACGAAAAACAGTTTCCCATTGATCAACAGCAGCACAATTAATCAGCCTTGTTGAATGCATGTGTTGTTTCAAGGCGATAAAACCTAAAATCCAAGGGTAAAAATTCCAAATAAAACAAAGACAAACGTTGGTAGTCCAATAGGTAATTTTTAAAAGACTCCAATGACTATGAGGAGTTTGAGATTAACTAATTAATAAATACCAAGCGAGGCAAACAGTCGTTACCATTAAAATGTTACAAATAGATAGAGTAATGGTTACATTATGTTTTTGTAGAGATACTTACATTTTCCAATTGGTCAAAACATTATCTAGGTAGTAGTATATTGATAGTTTCGGTAATCACTAATACTTGTCGTAGAAAAAAAACGAGTTCATTAACTTATAAATAAACGTTTATATAATTTTTATTTTTGTACGTAAATATAGGATTATACAGTTTTACTAGTTTTTTTTTCTTTTTAATAATGAACAAGAACAGTGTTATTGTTGCGAGCTGTCGAGGACATGGCGATTAGACGTCTTATACCACAGATACGTATGCTTTATGATTGGATTTTAATATTTTATTATCAATTATCAGTTTTATGGTTTAATCAATTCTCAAATTGAGTAACTTGGTTTTAACCACGGTTATCTTCTAATACCGTAGTTTAAACCATTTAATTCGTATAGATAACACAAAATATGACTGATAATCATAATCAATTTATTTTCAAATAAGTAAAGTAAGATAAATTGACAACACACATGGGACAAACATGTTTTAATGTATATTTTATTTTTTTATTGCCGTCCCAAATTAATTTTAATGAAACTACAATCAAAGTGATATTAATTCAACTTTATTATTTAAATATAATGGCTCATAAATTTAAAAGCAAAAAACAAAAAAAAGTTAAAGACGTATTCAATCAAATCGCGAAGCGTAACGAAGAGTGAGTACCTACTACCTATCTGTGAAAATTATTGTTCATTTTTTTGAGAGCAGTGGTGTGTTCCCATAGGGTATTACATATACGCAACATTTTTTTTAAACATTGGTATAATGTGCATACTTTCAAGGCTCAAACGATTTGCGATTTTAACTCTCAAGATTATTATTGACACGATCTAAACCATAAGACAAATATTTGTATTGTATGTATTAAACATTTATGTTTTGATATTATTTGATGACTTGATAAACTCATAAAAAAATTAATGGGAACACTTTAAATTTCCCAGCATGAATTTTTTTAATATTAGTATGGTCTATTAATTAATTTTTACAATTAACATATGAACAGATAACTTACATTATAAAATTACTAATTTACCTATTTAAATTTTTTCAATAAAACTATAGGCAATTATAATTAATAAGTAATGGTTACTTATTAGGTACCTTGAGATAATTTTGAGGCGTCAAATATATAAATAAATATACCTCATTTAATAATCTATAATTTTTTTTAAATTTAAGTTAAAAAATAAAATCTTTTAAAATATGAAAAAAATAAATATAATTAAATAAAAAAAATTAAATTATTTTTAAAATATATGGATACAGGTTATATTTTATGAAAATGTACATGTTTTCACTATTGCTTATAAATTATTACTTAATAGGGAATATATTAGGAGATATTAATATAGTTATTAAAGCTATTAATGATAATTAATTACTTTAATATATATATATATGATTACAGGTTAAAAGGAAAAACAAATAAACCTCCAAAAGATCCTAAATATCAGGATGTTCCACGAAGTTTACGAGAGTTTATGAAACTAAAAAAATTAGCAAAAAAAGATGAAAAAAAAGGTTCCAATGTTAAAAGTCAATTGTACTTTGATATAGGAAACAGAACACAAAAAAATAATCAAAAATGTGCATTTGAATTAGAAGAAAAACCTGAACAAATAAATATCATCCGTGAAAGTGGTGTTGTAGTTACTGAAACTCCAGTTCATCAAACTACAAGAAGCAAATTAATAGAAGCAAAACGGAAAAGGCAGTTAAAAACCAAACTTAAAAGGGAAAAAAAGAAAGAAAAAAAAAAGCAAAAGCTTAATGAAGAAACACAAGAAAAAGAAGAACATGCTATTGAATACTTAAAAGACAATATTGAATTTGGAGAAACTGTACATCAACCTCCAAGTTTGACCGTAAAACCAAGGAAAGCAGTTATCAATGATTTTGAAAATAGAGTACGAAAAAACAAATATTTTACTCATGTTTTATTACTAAACTAATAGCCTCTAATTATTATTTGTGTTTGTTTTTAGCCTGGTCGTAAAGATGATCTATTCTTAAAATCCATGTTGACAGATGCGGGAAATTCTTCAAAAGCAAAGAAAATAAAAGATGTCATTTTAAAAAAACCTAGTAAAAGTACACTTAAACGTAAAGCATTTACAGGCAAACGTAAAGCATTATCTATATCTGAACGCAGAATAATAGAAAAAGAAAGAGATTCTGCTGTGTTAGCATATAGAGAGTTAAAAAAAAATATATTAAATAAAGTCAATTAAGTAAAATTAATTATTTTTTATTTATTTTAAACCCAATTTTTGCATCCTTATATTTGTGTATATTTTCTTTTTTGCATTAAATTAATTACTAATTCAATATGAATAATTTTTAAAATTATTGATCATTTTGATAATTACCAATCCCTGATTTTGATAAATTTGTATTAATTGGGGTGATTTTCTGTGTTATTTTATTTTAGATTTTAAGTTATAGTATTGGTTTTACAATGATGTATTGTTTTCTTGTAATACACTATTTGAGATGGTGAAAATAGTCAATTAATTTTCGTCCTTTACATTTATAGTTTAGTAAATTTAATATGGAAAGTAGGTATCTTTTATGGAATTTCTTATTTGAATGCTATAGAAATAATGGAAAATAAAAAAAAAAAACATTTTTACATATATTTTTAAAACTTGTGCAAACAAACTTTATTGAAGTAGAATATTTAATTTAGACTTTTTGAGAACGAGTGGTGTTGAAATACTTAAAATATATTACTATAACTATAAAATATTGACCCCCATTAATACTGTTTGTGCATTATACAATAAACATGATATTTACTAAATTAATAATTGACTTTATGTAATGTTTTTTATCGTTGTATAAGTAATTAGTATGGTGCCATTAGTATAAATTAACACTACTCGAACAATAGATATTTTAAAGTACTTAATAATATCAACTTGTGCCAATCAATCTTAATTAACAATATATGACTTGTACACGAGTTTACATTAGTCAATTTCAAATAATAAACAGCCATACTCTTGTTTGTTGATGTATAATAGTAAATCATTATATTATTTAAAACTGAATGAAGCGATGTGAATAATCATGTGTATAGTGAATATGAGAAAATTAATCAAATTAAATTAAATATATTTATTTGTTGAAACATAACATCAAATTGTATTCTACTTAGGTTTTCAAAATGTTTGTAAAGGTACATTAATCCCTAATCGATATATTTTACATTTTTATTAACTTGGTTTGTAGGTGAGATCATTGAGATTATTGTCATTATAATAAATTTGTTTGTACAATAATTATGAGAAAACACGTGCCCTAAAATGGACGGATTTTAATAACCTAACCTGTGATCTATTATTTATAGGGGCAAGAACCCATATCCATTTATCCATTTCATAGAGTAGTCACATTTGAATACTTGTAATTCTACGAACAAATATTTTTGCTGGTTTTTATGGTAGCACATTATGTCTAGGTAACTATTTAAAGAGAATTATATTTTATTGGGTGTTTCTATAATTTTGGTTGGTTGAAAATAAAAAGAGGCAGATTTCCCTATAGAAAATATTTATATATTTTGATATTATATAAACTGTATATTCCGAGTGTAGCGAGGGAGCGATTGGTTTTACTAAGATGTTTATTTTTTTTCTTTGTTTAAGTCTGTGGACACGTTTTTTCCTAGTGAATTTAGTCCGGTGTATAAGTGCAGCACTTTTTCTGAAAGCTCAATTTGTCTAGATTGTACTTTAAAGATATCAGTTTTTGATTTTCGTTGCCATTTTTTAAATAAAAGCACTAAGGTGAGAAAAAACGTATGAAAACGTACAATTTCACGATTTCATTATTTTATAAAAACACGGTTATAAATACACGTAGAGACTTGAAACTTGGTAATAATACTTATATTGGATTTACCTAGACGTGGTAAAATTTTAAAAATTATAGGACGACTTTTTTTTTTTTTTTAATAAGTGTTTTGAAATCAAATTTAAACGAAAATACAATTTAAATTATGTATTACTGAACTGCGCTCGGAATCGTCTTTCGTCAAGTAATGGTTAATCGATGCTTACAGATTTAAATAAAATAACCTTATGCATGCTACCTTGCCAACTTCTCACCTACAACAGTGGCCGCTCCCATGCCTAGTATCAGCTCTTTTTTTTATGCATACTAACATATAACCTTTATGCGCTTTTAACAAAATATAATTTTTAATAAAATACAATTATTATTATTATTATTATGTAAAGTGTGTATTATAAATAATATTTACAAAAAAAACTTAATTTATGTAGGTACCTTCCTGTATTTATTTTTAGTGTTAACTGGATTAAAACTTACAGAAAAATTCTTGTGTACCTTTTCACGTTGGTTGTTTTGTAGAACAAATGTATGTGTTGTTGAGGGATTATGAACATTTACGTTACAATTTGCATTGTTTGATATTAATAGTTATTGTAATATTATGTACTATTAAAAACAAACTATACCCGGCTAATTCGTAAATAAATCGCACATTAAAACTATAATAAACGTTTCTCTTTTTTTCTTATTTACCTTAACGCTTAGCTCTTCAAAAGTTTTAGCTGTTAACATAATTTTCTTGAATAAGTCTTCAATTTCTAATGTATACATTCTATCATTCTAACCAATCAATATTCCCTATTCACGGGACAGGTTTTCCTTAGTTCTTCAATTCTGTCCACCCAACGTTTTTTGGGTATCTTCCCCCCCCCCTTCACCATTTGGTTTCCGTTGAAACTATAATTTACTAATATTAATCGTTAGATAAAAAATGTCTATAGATGTGTTCATAATTGAAAAAAAAACACGAGGGACACAAGTAAATCAATAAATAAAAAAAAAAAAATTGTTATTTTATAAATTAAAAATATTCACGATAAAGATATTCGATTTTAGACGGAGTGATGGAGACATTACCTACTGTCTTATTAGTATAATGATTATGTATTTATCTATTTGGCTATATTAAAGTTTTGTGTCATTAATGTAGCTTTTTATTTAATGTTAATGAATTATAGTAATCGAACATTAAAAACGTTTCACTCTGAAAGATAATACAAGGTATAATATATGACATTGAATACTACGAGTACCTAAGTACTTTACCGTGTATGCGTGGAGAGTTTTGCGGACAAATAAAATTATCAAGTAGGTATCCCTAAAAAAATTAATTCACTGATCCGTGGAAAGTCAACTGTATTCTTATGAATTTAGAATGAATCTTATAATTATAATGTTATAAGCCAGGGCCCGGATTTAAATGCACTTAAAATCCACGAAAAAGTATTACAAAAATGGCAAAAAAGCTCTTAAAAAAACAAAAAAAAAAACATAGTTGGAATTTTTAAAGCCCCCCTCAAAAAGATTTTATATATTAAATACGGTTTTCTAACACCACCAGTCAACCCTCTTCAAATTTAGTAGGTATCAATGGGAAGGAATCGGAAAAGGGACCCACCGACCGTTTTGAAGCGAAATATCTTTTTCCTTTTAAAATCTATTTTTAATTTCGTAATAATTTTGAAAATTAGCATTTGAACTTTCAATTTATATAAAAATCACAATGTGCTATATAAACAGCGGCGGATCCAGAAATTATTTAAAGGGGGGGGGGCACATTAATATTTTCATTAAATTAATATAAAATATAAGTATAAATAAAAACTATAGTCCATTGACATAGGGCACGTGCTTCTGTGCTCTCTGGATCCGCCACTGTATACGAATACGGTCTATGAAGGAATCTATTCCCCATATTCCCCCCTCCCCAGTAATTACGCCATATTTAAACGATCTTATTTATGATAATAATGTTGTCGCTGTCGTTCCCGTCCGTAAAAACGCACACGGTCCGCGTTTCGTAACTGTGGGTACAGTGACACCGGTCGCCTGTTAGTGCGACCTAACTCGCCAGTGGTCAGTGGCGTCCCGAACGAGACTCTTGCGGTGTCGACTATCGAGTTTTACCGCGTCCGGCTATCTGCAGTTTTCACCTTCATTTTTCATTCTCTACCGTTTCCGATAGTTTTGTATTATTTATATCCGTATAATACAAACGAGTATTTTATCATCGAATTAAAACGGTAACAATACCGATCACCTATATTATAAGCGCGAGTTTCGCAAATCATTCAACTCGTGCTTGTATACATATAATATATTATACACCCCTAGGTATATACCTTATTGGATTGAATCGTCCATTCTGAGTAAGTATACAAACATGATAACATAATATGTAAAAGGTCACCGTCGCGCTAAAATAAGAGACTAAACGAATTAAAAATTCAGAAACGAATTTTTTAAATTTTTGTTGCATTCGATTTTCGTTTTTAATCAAGAATTATATTGCGTCGATAAGCGGTTTGCAAACAATTTCCAATATCGCTTTGACACTTATACACGTATACCTATACGTTATAGAGGATGAAATAAGGCGTTTGTACGTCAAGTTTTTTTTTTATATTATTTTTTTTCACCCGATCACTTGATGCGTGACAGCGATGACACGGACATAATCTACCGCTTTGTTTTTGCGTTATTATTATTTTTTTCAATTAACCATAATTATAGTCAGATTACGCCGTAGGCGTAAGTATACCTACCTGTATGGTCGTATTATAGATTTTATAATGGAATACTCTCTACAAGCTCGCGGGGGAAACAAAATTGAGTACACCGCAATAATATTTTTAATACGTCATTTAAATCGATGCATAATGGATTATTATTATTATCAATAATTTCATTAATATGTCAATAATTTGAAATGAACGACATATTATTTTAATTTTTATTCGAAATTCGAATAAAATTAATGTACTTCACTTGAGGCGGTTGAAAGCGATTCGTTTTTCCGTAAGTTTTGTTCGCTATACGCTCAAACCAACAACCTAGAGTAAAATGATCACTTCATTATATTTCCAGTGATCAAATTTTAAGTTTTAAACATAATTTGACTTTGTATATTTCTTTTCTACGTTTTTTATGATAAATATCTGTGTTTTGTATTTATTATTATTATTTTTTTTTTCCGTGAAACAAAGTAAACTCTTTACGTATTCAAATTAAATTAACTAAATACAAAATCAAACAAATGTATCCTACAAAACAAAAAAAAAATCAAATTATTCAAGTGTGTTTTCAAAATTAAAATTGGGTGAACTAATGGTAATGGCGAATTTTACTCCAGCTTATTGTTCCGAAGCAACGTACAAACAGCCCTGACCATTCCC